CCCTTTAAGTCGCTGGGGTATATTTGTAGCAATTGCAAAAAAAAAACTTTGTATGGGTCAAAATTATAGATTTTTCTTTTATGCCAAAAATCATTAGGATATTAAGTAAAGATCATGTTCCATGAAGATATTTTGTAAATTTCCTACCGTAAATATATCAAAACTTAATTTTTGATTAGTAATATGCATTGCTAAGGACTTCATTTGGATAACTTTAAAGACGATTTTCTCAATATTTAGATTTTTTTTGCACCCTCAGATTCCAGATTTCCAAATAGTTGTATCTCTGCCAAATGTTGTCCTATCCTAACATACATTTATTCAGCTTTCAGATGATGTATAAATCTCAATTTTGAAAAATTGACACTTAAGACTGGTTTTGTGGTCCAGGGTCACATTTAAAGACACGTAATATGAAGTCGGACCAAAAGTTGTGTAGTGTATTAGCTGCTATACACATTCATTTTACAGCCTTATACTCTTTGTCTCATTTGTTTCAATTTTTTCAATGAATTTGAGGAGAAATATTACTTATTACAGTTAATGCTACTGTGCAACATATCTGAACATACTTCACGTTTCCTGAACAACAAAAGGGCCACATCTGAATAATAAAGCATCTTGATGTTCTGAAGGGCAAAGAAAGTATGATGGTTGTGATGGAACTTTGTTCAAAGTTAAATATTTTGTTATATGCAACTATATGAAACTTAAGTTAAAACTTTGTGTAATTTAACATTACTTTCGATTCAGTTTCACCTTTCATTACAATCATGAAGTTGTACTTCCTGTGTAAGTCTGAATCAAGTTCCTTCTCAAATACTATGATTCAGTGCTTACATAGAAGAGATGAAAGAAACAAGCGATTCTCATTCACTGCTGGGAAGCAAACCTGATCAGACCTGGACTCCACCTGTGTTAAAGCAAAAGAAACTATAACATTAAAGACACTGATCTTAACCACTATACAAAACCATTGGAGTTGGCTGGACACAGAGTTGGGTGTATGTTTCAGGCTCTGAATTGAAGAGGCATATTTACTTTCCCTTATAGCTTCTTCTTTCTGGGATCAGTGAGACCGAGACACAGACACTCTATTCCTTCATTATCTTTCTCTTTAAAGTACCAGCATGCACTGTTTTAGGCACAATGATGAATTCTGACTGAGAGTGTAACATTTTGTTGCTTTCCGCATTCCCAGTGCAGTTTAGAAAAGCATGGAAAATCTCTCATATTTTGAAATGATGAGACTGTACTCTGTCTCTAGACTTAAGACCTTATAATATAAGAAGAAAAGTGATGTATCATTAGAAGTTATGTATTGGCCAGGTGTGACCCACTTCCTTACAGGAAATTGTAAGCTAAAGGATCCAGATGGAAGGGGGAGGGGGATTCAGAAGAAAAAGAACTGCTTCCGAAACAAGATTACATAAGTTAAATTAATGACACAGTGAAAAAAGTAATAGAATTGAATAAATAAAAAATAAAATAAAAAAATAAAAGCTTATATAAAAATACAACAAAGAGTTAACGATTTACAGAATAAAGCTGAAATTCTTTCAAAATCTATATATACGATTTGGTAAAAAAAAATAAAAAAGGGTATTTTTGGCTACTAGTTTGTCATTTTTATCATCATATTAGCCAACATTCAGCTTAAGATGCAGCCATTAATAACATGAAAAGCAAATGCATAAATTATTTTTTAAAATACATATTTGTATTTGATATTAAAACAATGGTGTTAAAAACAATAACTACACAAGATACACTAAAATATCTCCATTTACAGAATTAACTGCTTTTCAGTTAATGCACCATTGTGAATTCAGTGAGCGATAACTGAATAACTTTATAATAAACGATTTACTGAAAATAGTCATCAATCCAACTGAACTGATTCCGTTCAAATGCAACCCCACATGAGTCAAATATTCAAAAATAAGTTTTCATGTCTTGTACTGGGAGAACAAATCTGAAAGACCAACTCATTCACAAATTCAACATCGTCATTACAGAGGACGATATTAAACCAGGATTAAGGTGAAATAAGAGGGGGAAATGTGTGTTTAATATCCAGTAATTTAATCTTTTTTTAACATTACACGAGACTGCTTGAGGCAAGCCAGTACAAGGATGGGAATTTCACTCTTTCCATTATCCTGAGCCTGTTTTCCTGAAACCGAACCATCCGATATAGGAACAACCCATCCTATATCACTTACCACTCAAAAATAACCCTAACACACCAGTGTGCTCTTCATTTAAGCAAATGATAATTTTAAAATAAAGTAATTATTAAAAATATGGCACATATCTAGAGAGAACTAGTGTCAACGTTTGTGGTCTTAATTAGTCTAACAATAAACCTTAGACCCCCAGCTTACCCTTTACCTATAAAAACATACACATGCACACACATGTGCGCGCTCACACACACACACACACACACACACACACACACACACACACACACACACACACA